AAAATGTATCCTATATTATATGTGAAGGAAGTGAAATTCCCCCCTCTTCTCTCCCTCTGCATGTCAATTAGCCTCCTCTATAGAAGCAATACACTTACTGAATGAACACCTATGGTGGCATCTCTGCCTGCGCCTTTGTACCTCCACGGATGCCGCCTCCTCTCCTGCACTTGCCAAACTCTCCCTGCACTAATAAGCCTCTGCCCCGAGGGCTTGTATAAGTCCCTACCAGGTGAGAGCTGCCTCTTGCTCCTGCTTCCCCAAATAATCACATGTACTCATTTAGAAAACAAGAATAATATATACACAAAGAAGAACATACACAAAAACATATGTAAAAATGAAACAAACCCCACTGGACAAAGGCTATGGTAGTTCAGGGGAAAAAAAAAAAAAATCCGTTCTTTGGACTTTTTAAAATTCTCTACCTTGTTCTCATGCTTTACCAAGGCAAGCTCTAAAGTGCCACCTCAGCAATATTCATAGCTACAGTACTGTGAAAGTATATAGCTAAGGGTTGTGTTTGACTTATAAACATTATAAATATTTATGTTTTTACATTAGAACAGATGAAACCGGGTAATTCTACTGTGAAAAATGACCATAACTATCACAACCCATTCTAAAAATGCAGGGTCTAGATTATTTTTCTTCCAGCTACATTTTGACGGCTACGTTATTAGCATTACTGTTTTACTTCTGTATGGTCCAACTACCATTGAAACAAAACTGAATCACAGGACAGGGTTAGAGCTGGCTGCCAACATGAGCAGGACAAGGATTCTTTTTTATCACCTTTTTCCAGTTTGCTAAAAACCCAAAGTTATTAGGTGCTACTGAAGATTTGTGTTTGTGCTCTTCCAGGTTCCTGGAAAGCTATTCTGACATTCAGACCGAGAAGGCAGTTTTGAATAGCTTCAAACACAGATTCATCCTATTTTTTATTATTCTTCCAATCCAATAGAGATGGAAGACACAGTAAAAGGTGTTAATAGTCCTTCCGCTCCATTTTCACATCTGTGGCTATCTCCAGAAAGCCTGCTTCCCAGGCAGCCAGCTCATTAAAATCAAGATGTACTAAATGCAAACAGATGTGCAGCTATTACTGATGGTGTCTAAGCCCCAGCACTCGTCACCAACTGACACAGACCTGCACGTTCACAGAAACAACCTTATTATGGACTTGGAACATGTTTACAGCTTTTTTTGGGTAACAGTTTTTTCTTTAAAACCCAGGGAGCTATGTAACAGTATGAAGAATAGAAAACATTTTTGGTAAGCCCTTTATTCCCAGGCTTCAAATAATGCCTTTAAGTACACAATATTCAGTACTCTTTTTACACAAGGCAGCTCATGTTCCTAAGCGTATTCCTTGACTGGTGGTAACCACAATTACCTGTAAAAACAGGTTATTTCATCGTATCTTCAACATGGATGAGCATGAGAGAAGTAACTATTATCAGGCAGTTTGACTTAAGTTCTTCCTAATAGCTCCTATTACATTTCAAATTACTGGTGATGAGAATCTACGTGTATTTCGATGTTTAAATAAAACATTTGAAAAGAAACATTTCAGTGCTCTGGTGACAACTGGATGCCTGAAGGTTCCCCCACAAACTTCTAGCATGTATCAACCAGGGTTTGCAGCCAAACTGACAGGTAACTTCCACAGAAACAAAGCAGAATTTAAAGTCTTCCTTTGCATCCCAATTATTTTATTGCTTTCTACACTTCTGATGATAAAGAGGATGAAAATAAAACCACTAACTCTTATTAAATACACCACCAGTTTCTTTTCTGAGTTGAATCCCAACCTTAAAGAGTAGCCTTCACTTAGTTTAAAAAAGGTACCAATAATATATTGTATTCACACAGCAAACAATTTGCTCATGGTGGTAGAAGCATCTAAAGAAAAAAAGATAACTCAGGAAAGTTAGTCCTCTGTTTCCAGGGTGAAAGAGAAGACTTGAAGTTGGCCGCACAACTACCCTGCATATTAATAACAGTGGGTGGACAGTAAGAGAAAATAATAAATTTAAAAATAAATAAAATAACTCTGCCCCTAACCAATAAGGATTTGTTGCAATTTTCCTTTGGCCTCGAGATTGAAGAAGCCCTGAATACAGAGTAGAAAGGGGCCGTGTGGTTTGATGCCTTCTTTGTCACACCTTTATCACACAGAAGCTCTACACTTCCACCCCAGGAGGATGCTCATCGCCTACGTGGCCTCGGTGTCACGTACAAGAGCTCTCTGCGGTGCTAATTCCAGGGGACCCATAACCAACAGGACACCATGGGACAACTCACATCACTCCTACTCCTGTTTAAAAACCCTTCAAGGAGACATTTTCCCATGCAATAACCTCCAGAGACAATTTAGAAGCGAAGGTACGAATATTGCCTCCCCCATTTCCGATCATCGCACGGGACCAACAACAGCTTCTCCTAAAACAAAACACCCAGTCTGAAGATACGAGAGAACATGCCGTAACAGTTTCCTGCTAGTTTGTTCCAGTCAAAAAAAAAAGGCATAAGAATCACCATGTTTCCAATTTATCTAGCCTTTATTTCCAACATAAAACCTTATAACTTTCTCTGATGGGCTGGAAATCCATTTAGTGCTCCTTATTCTTTTCTTGCAAAGGCATTTTTGTATTTGATCAAAAAGACAACGAAAAGATGGTGTTAACAGATGGACTGAAGAAGTACAGCCTGAGCTTTATATGCTCCCTGTTAGAAAGCTATTTTTCCCATCCTTTATGTGATTTCCTGAGTTCGTTTCGCCTTTTCAATACCATTTTAAAAGATGGACTCGGCGGTGATTCAGTGCAGGTATAACATCTCCCCATGTAACCCATCACTCCAAGCACGGATGTTACGGGTCACTTGTCTGGCTGTCCAGACTAAGGGCCCTTTCACACAATTCCCTTCCTCCTCTTTTGGCTATTTTTCACGAAGCCCTCTCCTCCCTTAACTTCAGTTTCCCCTTTAGGGTACATTTCAAAAGGTACAAACAGCAGAGTGATGCTCAACTCCCGAAACAACCCTTGTAAAAGTCTTTTAGATCATATCCACTGCCCTGTTTTCTATCATCTGCTGCATCTTCATGGCCAAAATACCCCAGCAACGACCACGCTAGGAATACCTGCCAGCCACCTCTGCATCCCTTCTGCAGCCCCTACGAGGACTTTATGCACAAAACCAGCCAGGGCAAGCTGGCGTGGGGCTCGCAGGGTCTCAACTGACTGCCGCTCTAAATGACGTGAAATGAAGAGCAGGGAATCCCAACCTCTCTGTGCTCTTGCTAAGTTCTCTCTAAAAGACTTCAATCAGCCTTGTTAATTCCCTGGGACAACTACCACGTTCCAGAAAGAAATAAACCTTCTAAAATCAGTGTATTGAGACAGGGACATTCCTGTTCCTCTCGCAGAGATACTCTGCCTTCTCCACAGGCTTTCAAACAGAGACACCAAGACTGCAGAAGGTAAAATTAACCCTAAATTGATGTTAACCGGTGATTTAAATAAGCAAAATAATCACTCTCTCTTCCAGAGTTATAAGGGGGCAAAACACCCTCATTGAATACTTCAAACTACTGCAGGAGTCTCGGGGAAAAGACATCAAGCTGCAAAAAGCACGTCAAAAGAGAGTAAGAAGTGACTGAACAGAACAAAATCACCATCACTTTCTAGAAATCTTCAACCTGTGTTCACTAGCACCTCCTTTGGCTTATTTTATGAGAACTAATAGGGTCTTAAGTAGATGTCACTGTTACTCCAGAACGGGTTTATACTGGTTAAACCATCACTACGTAAAAGGATTATTTACTCTCTTGTTTTTGTTCATTTATGGCAACTAAGAATTGACATAAAATTGCTTAACAAATTTGCAAATTTGCACAAATGCTTTTCCCTATGAAGTCAGTGACCCTACTAACTCAGAAACCAGCAGGTACCAAAGCAGACGCGTTAGCGTGGTTCCTGCTTTGGACGTCTCACCTCATGAATAACTACAGAGCTACCACTGCTGCATACAAGTTCTTTTTCCTTCTACATGCCAAAAAGGCAATGGTTTACTATTCAAATCCAGTTATCTTGTTTTTAGGGGATTACAAAGCAGTCCCTCACTGGTTTTCTTTTCACTATTTCTTTGCTTTTAAAATTAACTTACTTTCCTCTACTTTGGCTCAATTTCCAGTCTTCCAAAAAAATGAATCCAGCAAAATTTATTAGTCAAAGAATCAACCAACCGTGAGGAAGAGGAAGAGATCTGGAAACCCAGACCAGGGTGGGTGTAAACCGGGATTCTTCATTCATTTTTGTGCCTGCCTCCATATCATCACTCAGCCACGAAAACAAGCACTGAATGCAGACACACATGCACGTCGCAATGTCTTTTTCCTGCTACTGAAAATAAGAGGGGACGAATGGGGGCGCTTCCAATTTCTATTTTGTTGTAGTTTACTTTCACAGCATTTCTGAAGATGGTATCTTCATGAGGTAGATAGCCTCAAAGACGCCCAGTGGAACAAGCAAGGGTCAGAAACACATCCAGCTGTCCCCTATCTCAGCGCAGTACTCCCTCCGCTTCTGCTAAAACAAGGGCTCGCTACCACCGAGCCACCAGCCCAGCCACTGTTCTGCCTAAGGAAGATTAATATTAAACATCAAAAAGAAGAAAACTTTAGGAATAGTTAAAACTTAAGTTGAGCAACATAGGGTTAATGATATGAGTATTGCTGTGTATTGCTGTTAATAAGCATTTTGCAATCTAAAAATAGATATTATATATATATATTGCAGCCCATATACCCCTCAAGATTATTCCAAAAGACAATTTAAAAAAAAAAAATCTGGTTTAGTACTTAATGAAAAGAGATGGACATTTATAGGAAACATCTATCTGAAGCAACTTTAGTTTATGTCCTCCTCCAAATCTGAGTTCTGCAAAGGCTTTCAGACACATAGCAAAAGGTACGTTCTTCAAGGAGTGCCACTTACTCCACATGTCTCATTCTGCGTTTGCATGGGATTAGCCTTTGGCTCCATGTCTTGCCTTTTTTGGTTCTGCTTGAGTTGGTTTAAGGAAGGTTTTGTCTGTGCAGCTCCAACAGTTTTGCTTGTCCACTGGTCAACCAGCTTGTGAAGATCATCTGTGAACGTCCCTTTCTTGTTGTTACTGTTGTTGGCCTGAACCTGCAGGGTTGATTGCGGGAGGGGCTCAGGACACGTTACGAGACTGTTTGTCGAGGATCCTGGAAAATCACACACAAAGAAAGTTGACGATGGCATCTCTGCTTCCCCACTTTGCTGCTCAAACAGTTTCTCATCTATTGCAATTCAAACGGTGGCTTTTCTGACTTTTAACCCTCGCCCTCCCTTCTACAGAACACCTTTGCTTAAAGAAATGGTCCAAGTCCAATGCATTCATATTTTCTATCACATTCTGTTACCTCAGCCACTAGCTGTTGCGCCCACAACTTCTCTCTAGGTGAAATGAATGACTCGGAGAGAAGCAGCGAATGCAGTCCCAGTAACACTGACTTCCTAAGGCTTACAAAGTCTCTTCAGAGGAGACTACCACGAGAGAGTGGGAGGCAGGATGTATTACTTGCTTAAACTGCACGCATTTAAAAAATGAATATACCGTTTATTTTACTTGCATAAGTTTACTATCCTCCTGGAAAAACGTAATTGTCGTATAGGCTACAAGTAGGGTTGGCTACTACGCCTCAAAGGCTCCGGGAACCCACAATCTCTGTCGATGATGTTAGGACCATTTACTTTGCCATCTGCTTTTTTTTTTTTTTTTTTGGAAAAAAAACCATCAGGACCATGAAGGTACAGAAGAAAGAGGAGAGAGGAGGACATAAGTGGGTGTGTGAGTTTTGGAGACAAAGATAAAGATACAGAACTTTTGGTATAGATAAAAGCAGACAGGAAGAGTATTGACAGAGATTTAATTTTCTATTTTCACTTATTTCTAAAAGAACTAGGGAAAAAAAAAAATCTATCCTTTTGATGTGTTGGTAACTACAAGTCTGACACAGCAAGATCAGCAGGGAACGGCAACTGAAGGTGCCTGAATTTTACCTAAGCAGAAAATATAACAACAGTAATTTTCAGCTAACATATTTGATATAGCTAAAGATTTGAAATAAAGACCATCTCTCCAAGCAAAAAGTTCATAGGACTGTAGTAAAATTATTATATAAGCAAACATGAACATTCAGTCTTCTTTTTTCTGTTAATCAGTTACCAGCCAATGAAACCGAGTAAACTAATTAGTCCTATGGTTATATAAAATACGTTAATAACCTTTAAATGATCATGCATTCAACCTGCAACGTAACTTCTAAGTGAATACTGCTCATTTCCTTTTCCTTTGCTTGGGGGAAAGGGACCAGTGAGAAAAATAAGTATTTTGACAGGAAAGCTCTTCAATTAGTGTTTAATATTTCATGCAGCTCAACAGGAACGAGATCGTTTTAAGCTATAAATTCCTCCAGCAGAGAACTGCAGTCATATAAAGGTGTGTATTTCAGAAAGACAAACACTGAATCCAGTTTTCTCGCCGCATGCGTGCACAGTCTCACACACAAAGAATACCACAACTGTCTTGCAGCATGCGTGGTTCCCAAGACATCACAGCACATGCATTATTATGAAAGTATCACAATTTATACAGTCTAATTTCATATCAGTATAAGTGCATCAGCTCTATTTATTAAACAACTAGCTTTTAGTAAAAAATAATAAATAAAAAAAGCAAAAAACATCCCATGCCATGAAGGAAATACTGAGAAACAAAAATGGGATAGTTACTACTACTGTGATCTTTGCCTAGACATAGTCGTTTCAAGGTGGACCCTACAAGGTAAAACAATACAAGACATACAGAATTAGGTAAGACTAAACACAACAAATCTGACGGACAAGCTTCTGTACTTTTAAGCAATCAAAAAGTAGTTATTATGCAAGAAAGGACAGACAAAGTCAGCAGTTCAGGTGAGTAAAGGAAGTCTAAATAACTGGACAGCTCAAACCTTTCTTAATGTGCAGCCATTCAGAAGCTTTGAGAAGTACAATAGCATGCCAAAAGCAAGGTCCCATGACTTAAAGATGCATTTGTTTGGGGTTTTGGTGGGTTGTTTTGGTTTTTTTGTCTTTTTCGTCTTTTGGGTTTTTTTTTCGAATTGCCTTGGCTTCCTAATAGGAGGTTTTGATTCCTACTCTATTTATGCAGGAAATGATGTCAATTCAGTTTGTGATAGGAGGCCAAAAATGCTTTCAGGAACGAGTCAAGCTAGTCTGGCTGCAAAGACAAACTGTAAAACAACCCTAAAAGTCCTGTTTTACAAGTCCAAAAAGATACATTGTTCTGCAGGTCTGAGGCCAATTGTTTCCAAATACTTTATTAGTAGGGTTTGTGTCTAAATGTGAGATTCTGAAATTCAATTGAAAGTAACCGTGAATGAGTTTCCCTTATGCCTTGTCCAAGTGCAGAAAAATAATCCAGCAGAGTCGCTGAGTTTTCATTTAACCAAACTATGTGTTTTTTCATTATTATCTCGTTACATCCTTCATCATGATTTTACATATTCTGTTGGATAGATAGTTGGAGTGCCAGAAGCGTACCAAGAACCCTACTCGACTGTCAGATCTTGCCAGACATAAGCACTGTTTCTATTTGAGTGCCAAATTTCCTGAAAGGTATTTTGGACTTGGTAAGAAGAATATCATTATGGTATGGGAGGAGATGAATATCTGACATGGGGCATGGCAAGTTTATTGTGAAGAAGCACTTGAAACATGAGCAAAATCAGAGAGTGGGGCAAAAACCAAGGTACACGTTGGATGTGTTTTTTCTCTACAGCAAACCAGTGTAGATATTTTATGTTACTATGCCAGAAATGCAGCTTTAAACTCAGAGATTGCAGGTCCAGGTTGACATAGGCTCTGAATGAGTCTTCAAAGGAGAAAGGAGAGACGTCAGTCAGAGACTGAGGAAGAGAAAGTAAAGAAGGAGGAAAAAAAGGGAAATGTTTGTGCTTTGATATGGGTGGCATGAGGAGGAACAGAAGGATTGCTTTGAAAGATTTTCTTATTAGTTCATATAGTTTAATGAGGTTTCTATTCCAGGAAAATCAGAAGGACATGACTACAGTAATGTCTTACGCAAGCATGACCAAGTTTAGTTTCTCATCTCAAAGCCTAGATTACAAATACAAGTCACATTCACAACTCAAGAATCTGTGTTGTATTTTTAATTTTTTTTCCCTTTTCCCTCAGATATACCTTACCTTGCCTATCTCAAAGTTAGCTAGCAACTCCCATTATGGAAACATCAGTGGCAGTAATACTAGGATGCTATTTTCTTAACTATCCTGCAGCATTTCTGCATGTAGCAATCGGTAGTATTTAGCACAATATGTATGCAAATGAAAAGCAACTGCCTGCGAAAAATAAAAGCAGGCAGCTGACTACAGTACGTGCTCAAATGCATGTAAAAAAGATTAATCACCAACCCCTTTGCTTCCTGAAAACCGAGTCACAAGTTTATATGCACCTCAGGTGCCAAATCAAACCTGGGGCCCCCATACGTGTGGGGAAGTGACAGAGAACAGCGATACTAGACAGATTCACAAAATACCCGCGTGAGGGGAGTCAACGTTAAGGAAAATATTACAGGAGAGTCTATCACCAAAAGAGAGCTGTTTCTTCCAAACTGTATTACTCCAGGATGTTGCTCGGGAGATGAGAAATGTTATCTATGTGGCGATATTGCCTGAAGCAGGGACTGACAATCATCGGCTACAATTGGTTTTAAATTCAAATTCAATTAAAAATGCACTTGGTAAACCTAATTCCAGATTAATTGTATTACTTCTAAAATCAAGGTGTTTAATAGCTGTAAAGTTAAGGAGATGAATCATAATTAAGATTTAATCTAAGACTGCAAAAGTTCAGCAGAGTGCTTTACCTCCAATTCCAGATTTCTTATCTGAGAAATTAAGTAGCTATTATATCATACGGGACAGAAAAAATCCACTGCACTCTAACAGCTGCCAAAAAGCTTGAAAGCTAAAATAAAATCGAAATGGCAATAAATTGTTAGACCATTTCCATAATCACATATGCACACACAATATATTAATTACTACAGACCTGACAAAAATCTCTTTACACAAGATTACAAGTCTAAGCCAGATGGAGCTTTTGAAAATTCCACTCACAATCAGCGCAAACTTTCCCTAAGACACCCTTGCAATTTAACCCGGGGAAGGAGCTCAGGCTAAAATTATGCTGAAGCCCATCAAAAATATTTTATTCCATGAAAAGTACAAAGGAAAAGTCAATATTGGACACGGGGAAGAGATCAAAAAGCTGTTCTGGGAGAACATTGAGTGTTGAAAGTGTTCAAGTTTGATGGATCTTGTAACCAGGGCAAGATATTTGGTAAAACTACCTTTAATGCATCTGCACATTTCTTTTTAAAAGCGTGCTGCTAATTTGTCTGCTGATACAGTACAGGCCTCACACTGGAATGTCCAAGCTCCCCTAAGGGCTGTTTTTCCTTAATCAAACGTATAGATTCAGAGCATTTCTGAAAACCCGGCACAACTTTTCCCAACAGCTCTCAAAGAAACAAAAAATCCCGGGGAAACCTCGACTGGTGGAATAGACCCAGGACCCCGAACGGCCCGGACACGCACCGAGCTGCCGGCACTGCAGAGCCACGTCCCAGCGCCGCACGCCCAGCCCTCCCTCGCTCAAGCACGCAGCAGAGATGCAAACGTGTTTAGCACCTGGTCCCAACGCTTGGCTCCGCCTGCACCGGGTCAACCTACGTCCCGTCCAGAGGGGAAGGAGCACGAGCCAGCTGGCATTCCCATCATCATCATCATCATCATCATCTAGCACTATTTTTCCCGAGGCCCATGGTCACGGCTGCTCTGGGTACCGGCGCAATGCACCCACCAGCCGTACCTCCTTCCAGCAGCAGTCCCAGCCCCTGGGGAATGATGGGGCTGCACAGCCCCGTCTTCATCCCTTCACACACACACTACCAACCTGCCGGACTCACTAGGAAAACAAGCTAAAAGAGCCTCCTATCCCCATCAAAACCTACCAGTAAATCAGCTGTGGAAAACCGTCCAGCAACTCAAGTGACAGGCAGTATTTGAAACTAAGCTGCGCTCTCTGAGCAGCGGTGACTTTGGATGGATGCGTCAGGTTTAAGTGCCTGAAACTCAGTCCATCTCCTCGTATGACTCAGAAATGGGGGAGTGCAAACCTCCTCTCCAAACGCTTCACCCAGAAGAAACCGAGAAGAGAGCATATGGGCTGAGAACAGAAAGCAATTAGTCGTGCCGAGTTATTTAAGCATTGGGAAACTTCACGATTTGAAGGATTTACATATTCCCTTGGTTTCATTCACAATATCCATGCACCCAAACATTTTTAATATGCTGGTTTTTAATCGCCATCTCCCAGTCTTTTTGCATTCTACTGAATAGTAATTCTGTGAAAGATTAATGAAACGACTTCTGGGAATTACACGTGCAGAGGAAGAAACTACTATGTCCGTTATAATACCAAATGGGAAAATTTGTGAACTGAGAATTCCCCTCAGGTTCTCAGAAAAAATCCCTGAACGCAAAATTGTCTCACGACTTCAATCATCGTTAAAAACTTGCATGATAATAAATTCAGTACGCTGAGCAGTAAACATCAGTTTTCAAGAACTTGAGTGCTTGGGCTTCTAGGGACCTCAAACAAAAAAAAATCAAGATTATTTTTAAAAATATTGTTTATTCACAAAATTAGGAGGAGTGTATTTGAGTGGTCTTGTGCCTTTGATCTGTACCACTTGGATAATGATGAGCAATGTAGAACTCCAATGGGAGATCTGATATTAATGCAAATGAACAGTTAGTTAACCAAACATTTTCTCAAGAACATTATTAGCCTTTCTAATGTTATATGTAAGTGGCCTATAGTACCTGTTCAGCACAACATATCTTTATTGTACAAGCAAAATCTGTTTGCCTAAAAAGCAGCATATATGATTGGGTAAAAAGGTCTTAATTTTTTAATTAAATAGCTTGATATCATTTGGTTGAATTGCCAATTACTTTAGAAGTCATACAAATAGGGTACAAATAGCAGGTGCACAATTATTTGAAACAAAAAATACTGGATCCTAGCAATCCATTTCAAAGTATCATCTGAAAATCTGATTATTGCTTTTTACTTATTTATGCTTTGATGAACTGCTAATTGACTTCATCTCTGAGGTCACATAAGGTCATAAGAAAATAAACTGAGTAAAGTGCTTCAGCCAGATCAGCTTACACAAAAAAAGTTGATGGTACTCTCCCTTGGAGTAACCAGATCTTCCTGCTGCTTACGAGTATATAAAAAATTGCTCACTTAAAGTAATTAAAGTGAATGCATGGGGAAAAGCCCACCTAGAAAACAGATTTTGAAAGAACTAGCTGGAGCACTATTGTCTCAGCATTTCCACATGCAAAGAGCGGGGAAAAAAAATTAAAGAAAATAGAGTGGATATAAACAGTACTGTATATCGTGTTAATACAGCCCTTGTATGGAAGTTATACCCTTCAGTGACCTTCTAGAATTGTATCAGCTTGCTACATGCATGTCTTCATAGTCCAAACATGTGTGAAAGAGACCATTCGTCTACAGAAGGATGGATTTCTTTTTGTTGTCGCTGGAACCGGGACAGCAGACATGTATATTTGCCACATTGCAAATAAAATTACTTCAACATAAATCACATAAAGTACAAAAGCTTTGATAAGTCCAGGGTAAAATTTACCATAAGGCTATATAATAAATGATGAGATCTTCCACACATGCTTTTGGTGCCCAGGCACGAGCCAAAAGCAGTGCAAAAAAAGCTTTCACATGAAAAATTAATATAAATAAGGTGTGTTCATGATGATTACTTAAAAGAAAGATAAAAAGAAAGAAAAGATGGTTCAGAAAAAGGGGCATCCTGCCAAACATATTAGAGATATAAAACATGGAATTGGAAAAAGGGGGTAAAAGAAAGATGGACTGTGATAAAATACAAAAGAACAAATACAAACAGATGGACAAAGACACAGGTCCACTGAGGAATCTGGTACGAGGTTTGCTACTAGATTTATAGGTCACTCTCTCAGACGTTTGGTGGAAAACCGTCCAGCCTGCAAATGAATATAAAGGGAAGAAAACAAAGACACTTATAAAGTACAAGTAGCTGTGATCAGATGTCCTATACCATCAGTCAAATCAGCTTTGTTAGTTAAACATCCACATCTCCATTTTAACTTTGCCAAAGAGGAGTAAGTTAATTGACCATACACAAAGGATGCAATAACAGCAGAAGAGAACAGATAGATATTTTGTAGATTAGTTTGGCAGGATGTGCAATGAGAGGAAGGTATTTTAATCATCATTATAACTTCCAATATGCATGGCAACAAGATCAGTCAAAGCCTACAGAGGTGTGCAATACACAGAAGTATCAGAGGTCGGGACTGGGGAACACAGCCAATCTACATTTAGCTGAGACTCCGAAATCATGCACAAAGTTAACCCCTTAGATAAAGGAAACATAACTTCGTTCTCTGGTTTTGGTTTTCTTTTTTTTTTTTCTTTCTTTTTTTTTGTTTTCCCCCTCACACCCAAGGTGGTTTGGTAGTTTATAATGAGGAACTCCGGGTTTACCAGTATCAAGGGGCTAAAAAAGAAGCCCAGAATGAACCAAAGGAAACAATCTCCTATCCTTCTATATCTTTTTTGTTTCCTTTTCTTTTTTCTCAGAAATCTGTAAGGCAGACTCCAGAAAAGGTGTCAGTATAAAGCCACTGCTGGCAAAAATAAAAGGTATTTCTTTCCTAAAAATTAGCAAGCCTTCTTGAGTGTTGACTCTTAACACTTGGTAAGATACTTTACTTTTGTTCTTCTGACAATACTGCAACGATCTTTTTAAAGATAAGCCAGTAATTTGGATTGTCAAAGGTTCATGTTCCTATATCACTAGAAGTGAAATCCACTCCTAAAAAGTTCAAGCGTAAGGGAAGCGAACTAATTTTAGCATGTGCTGGAAGACATGCCGAACAGCTGGTATGAAAAAATCACCTTGGCCAGAGCTTGCGTTCACGTCACCTCCTTCGGGGCCTAAGCCGGAGCAGATGTCAGAAGACAAAGAGGCTTTGACAGAGCACGGCTGCTGTGTCTGAACAGCCTTCCCAAAGGTGGCTGATGCAGGGGAGGTTACTGCTGCTGCCTCGGGAGATCCAGGCTGAGTTTTAGCTGTTTCTTTGTGGGGTGAGTCTTTAGAGTCTGAAAGATTACCTGAAAGAGCAAACAAACAAAATACACGCAGCGGTAAATGCTAGGAAACCACTGAATAATAATCCATGCCTAAAAATAATCGTTACTTTGCCACCAAGAGGAACAGCGGTTTACAATTCTGAAGTACCGCATGCAGCACAGGCTTTACAGAGAGCCTGCACCAGCAAATAATCTGCACATGCTATCGCTGATCCAGTTTCTCCAAGAAGCTTATGGAGTAGGTTTGATTTTTACAGTTTCTTTTCTGCATTTTTCAGAAAGGCTGGAGTCAGGACCTCACAAGGAGCACTGCTGAAACAAAGTGAGAGCTGCAGAAGTGCCTATGTAGGAGGATGAACGCACAGAACGACTGAGCAGAACATGTAGGTTTGCTCTCAAACATGAAAGGTGAAAGCAAGCAAACGGAGAGAAATAAAAAGTTGCTGCAAAGTCATGAAGAACTTTTTATTTATAGCTATCTATATATAGATAGATAGATGTCTGTATATAAATATTTGTATCTATATATCTATCTACACGGGTATCTCGGGTAAAGAAGCTTTACCACCAGAATACCTGTGTAATCATTTGTTACATGGATTTATCAGCAAAAGCATCTAACAGTGGAAATGACGATTACGTCAGTAGCCGTATTAGAAACTGCCTGCCCTTGGTCCCTGAGAAAGGACCTAGGAAGGCCAAAAAATGAGGAATCTACATAGTCAAGGTTGAGAAGACTCAGGCATGAATACAGATTCTCAAAAATAATGTGAACTTTACACAGTCCTTAGAAAAACTGGAAAATAACACAGAAGAAATGCATGAAGGAAAGCATGCACCAAAGTAGCAGCCTGAGCAGACTTCTGTTCTCTAACTGAAGGTGACAAAGGAAAAAAAAGGAGAATTGGGACGTTTTATGTAGAAATAAGCTTAAATTCTTTGGACTAGGGTAGCACACTTATATGAGCCAAGATCCATGGAGACAGATGTGAGTTTTGTGAATAGACAGAGGGAAAAATGGCTAGAGAGAACCCAAGAACAAACTGGAAAATGAATGGACCAAGGATAACAGACATTCAGAGTATCTCATCACAAGGAAAGGAAGTAAAACCTATGCACGTCAGCCAAGCAGCACCTAAAGAGGTATAAAGCATTGAACATCGCTTCAGTTCCTGCAGGCAAGAACACTGAGATTCAAGATGGATCACAGAACATCTTGCGTCTGAGTATCTTTGCTTTTCCTATCTCAGCTGGAATCCTTAATTAACACTCTTAAAAAAACACTCTGTCTATAATTGAGATTGATGCAATGAAATTCGAAGTGGACCCATGATGCAGTGATTTTAAAAATGAGAGCTACCAGGTTTGAAATACAGGGTTAATGCTGGAAGTGCTGCTGCTCCTCTAAATAACAGCATGAGCTAAGCTGAAGAAAAAATATTCATATTCTATTCTACATTTTGCTGAAGAAATAGGCACTGGGGTATATCAACACTTCCCAGTTGAAGTATATCTTTAGACTTTCCAAAGAGATAATGACTCAAGATTGTACTACTGTTTGAAGAATCTCAAACTACTTCAGATGGTCAAAGCATCCATCACAGTTTTATAACTGTTTTTACCTCCCACCCTTTGGGGGAGCAAATGCAATCCAATCTTATTTATACGGCATCTTGTAGGAAAAAATAAACAACAACAAGATACAGCACATAATCTATAGAGGATAACAGCACCTAAGAAGTGAATACAAATATCAATAAATTGCATTTGGAGAAAGGATAAGAAAATGTAACCAGGCTGTATTCCAAATTAAAGTGGAATATTGTTTCTCTGCCAAGTATTGTAACCGACACAGAGAAGGTATGTATGGTTCAGCATTGGGCAGCTGTAATAAGCCTGTCCCAAAGGAAGCCCACTTCAAAAACAGTTCGCAGTACGCAAACTTGAGTCATAGTATTAAAAACAACAAAAATTCAGTGCCTTTCCTGCAGTCTATGCAATTACACAGCAGAACCACAACTGACACAAACAACAGGCATATGGAAAGCAACCTAGTGTACCTACTTGTGCTTGATGTTCCACTTCTGAGCTGCTGGACCAGAGGGTTTAATAGTTTTCCACCTTTCAATTTATTTTTGCTAGTTCTTCGGCGACGGCCACTTGGTGGGGCTGAGTGAAGGAACCCCAGGTTGGGAGGAAGGGGTTTCCCTAACCGAATATACAGTGCCTCTATCTCATTCTTCTGCTGAGTCTGAAGTTCAGCGATTTCTTTCATATGCCTAAACATAAAAAATAAAGAACTCTGCTAGCGATGTATTTGATAAAGTACCACATCTTGACAGCATAATCAGTTAGAAACAAAATAGTCTTTGGTTATAAAACAATCAACTGCTCATCCAAAAGTATGTGAAGTTGTAACAATCTACCTGGCAAATGTGGTGACTGACTTCTCAAATATTCATTTATAAGACAGAATCCTAGATGGCTAAAAAGATTTTCACATCCTCAGAAAAAACAACTGATTTTGACATGAGATCTGACAGGAACTCCAAACTATTCCAGAATTTCTCTCTTCAAACCAGTGGCCTCAAAAAAGTTAACTCTCAAGGCATGTACATCAGTTTGAAGGAGTTCAACATGAAGAAAAACAAAGTGCTTCCCATAAAAATACTATTAGCACATGAATCATTACCTTATTTATAATTCAGATTTCATGATGCCATGAAGTGAGTTTAAAGGTCTTGTATTACTGTAGTTCTGTTTTAAAAAGATGCATCATCTGTATTCAGTAAAACCATTATACCTTAAGATAAAGTTTACCATTTTGGTTAAACTAGCATCTAATGCTAGTTTTTACCCATCACCTGCCAGGAAAGAAAGCAAATGTTCAAACGGAAAGAAGCTAGCTCTCAGGACTGGCGCACGACAGACTCCTGCCAGGCTCACCCAGCCTCCCGCCGAGACCGGACCGATGACTTGATGAGAGATCCGATGGGAGGCGAAGCGAGGGTCTTACCTGCCTCATAGATACTAGGTTATCTACTGTAGAAGCGAGTCTGGGAACAGTGATGGGTCTGTAGACCTGACAATCTAAATCACCCTTGCAGAAAAGGGCATGAAGAGAACACTACGGCAGTTGTCTATGCAGGCATCCAGATTATTTTTATGCCGCCTTAAATAGTGTCCACATGGGAACCTACTATCACATACATTACAAGTTCTATTGTTTGCCACCGTATCAACGTGGCTTTTCAGTAAGGAAACTGGACATCGCAGCAGAAATGTCTTGGGGTTTAACAAAGTTGTTATTGAATTATTCTTCTAAACGGAATTGACAAATAAAGTGATGCATAAAAGGATGCAGTATGACATTTGGGGGAAGGTCCTAGCGATGCCTAATTGGCCCAGAACCAGTTTACTCATTACAGCTATGAAAACCACATATTTGCTCATCATAGGCAGAGATGCTGCCTAGGTATCTTAAGACAAGTTTCCCTAGCATTGTTTGCAAACCCGACATACTTTTCTCTCAGGTTCTGCAATTCTTTCTTCATATCTGCGTCTTCAAATTCCGAGTCGTTGTCGCTGCTCATGTATGATGACTGTGAGTGGAAAGATGTTATGTTGATGGTAGGAATTTTTGTTCCTTGCCCGTTAGGTGAATCGAGGCCTGGTGAGCTAGCTTTGCCAGATCTTTGCAGAAAAGCAGCTGCTTTTTTAATTAAGTCAGTGGCTGCACTACTGCTCGGGGGGGTCAGAGGGGCAGCAGCAGCCGACTGACGATGGAAAGGCTCATCAGCAGAATCACTTGAACCCTGGTCACAGAGGACATCGACAGAAGAGGCTGTCTGCACCCGTCGGACAGCTGTCTTCAGATCAGGGCTGGAAGGTAGCTCATCCAAATAGACGTCTGGGGGTGCCGAGAACCTTAAGCAGTGTGGCGCTGTTAAAGTTAATTCATCTTGCGTGCTGATTACTGAAAACCTGCCAATAGTTTTGGCTGGTGTACCGCTATCGTGAGTCTCAGCCTGTTTTCCATAGGAACCAGAGTCTAGAGAGTCATCCCTTTGAAGGTTATTTATCACCCCATCTGCTGTAGATATCTGCGTTACATTATCTGTGTCTGCAGACGAAGTCATAGTCTTTGCCTTCTCGCTCCTTTTAGAAGTTTCCATCTGTTTAGTTATGCTTGATGATGTAGGTGCAACCTGGAGAAAATAATGGTGGTTAATTTTGAAAGTAACTGTAACAACCAAGCATAAAACTGCTCCTAGTTTCTGGTTACCTGAAGGAGGCCTTTTGTTGCAGCAGCAGGAGCTGAAGTGATGCTTGCAGCTGAACCTGTTTTTCAAGTTGGAAAAAAAAAATATATTCATGTCTGGAATGCTTTAGTATAATAAAGCCCAACGTGTTTATTGTGACAAAATGAAGTGTGATAAAGTGCAGCACTGAAGAATAATTTAAATATCCAATCTTTGTAATACAGGATCTATAATGCAGGAGGCAGTATTGATGACAATATAAAATATCTGCAGGTAGGCACTCTCTTCAAGCTGTTGATTTGGGGAATTCAAATAATAATAGGAGTGTGGAATTTCATTAGTCAGTTGAAAATTTGTAAGGAGAAAACCAGAAGAAGAATGAAATCTGCATGGTACGTTGGGCCTGCACTACTAAGGTGTTCTTGATGTCTCGAAAGAGTAATTGCACTCAGCTATTCATGCACAAAAAATGCTGCAGTTGACCACAGATGGACTGGTATTTCACACCCTTCATCTGACAGATACTGACACCAACAATTAAAAGTGCCTGAAATGAAGTTAAACGCACATTGCTGACAGTGGAAATTATAAGCTCAAGAGATGGCCACTCGGACCACAGAAGCACGTGAGAAGCAAAATATTAGTGGCAATAATCAAGACGTGATTATTTCACAATCTGGACACTGGGTTTGAAGTTAAACCAACAAATGCACACTTTTCAGAAAGCTGCTTTCTTATGGCACATTGCACAGAGTGAACATAAGGCAGAAATCTGTCACTTCATAGTTCTGAAATGGTGAAATGCATCACTGCTTGATGGTATCTAAGATACATTAATTTTACTACACAGTGCTACATTCCACTTGCATACTCTCTTCTTTGACTGTAGCGAGACAGGTGAATGCAGGCTACCCGAAGTCTTTCCCTCTCACACTGACCTAAAAGCAGTAGACAATCGACATCCACCAGGACAAGAATGATCTACGCTGTCGCACAAACCTGGTAGCCAGCTTTGCCACGACAATCTCAAAACTATATATATTACAAGCCCTCCCCAACCCCACCCATAACAGCAGGAGCAGTTTTGGGTTCCTCAGCCCTTAAAACTTCCCATGACTTGCAAGACAGGTAAATGGAGCATGATAAATACCTAGTTTCTTACTATGGCTCTTACTATGTTATTATAGAAAGTGCCGTTGTATCCACAAGTACCTAAAGAAAAGTACTCTTTACTGGTTCTCCATGGGACTTCCTTGAAAATCTTATAGGCTTCCCCCAGCGGGGCTATCCTCAATCATGTTATTTTTGTCAACACGTTTTTATGAAACCCAGGAAATCCAAGGGACCTTCTGTTTGGACTTTTTAGGGGCACTGGAAATGTACTGTTGGGAATGTAGCCTTCCATGTGAACACCCTATACCTACACCACAGATACGTATTACATATTTACGGTTTAAAATAAATCCACCTGTGAGGCAGTTTCTTTCTAGGAAGCTTGACAGAATTGAGATGTTTAATATCAGTTATGTGATAAATAGGATCAGAAATGCCTTGTGCTGGGCAGTGCTCCGCAGTTAACCAGAAGGGCGAGCAGCAAGGAGACACCGGAGAAGAGGACCACGCACTACACAGATGCATCACTGCCGTTCACCACTGAAAGGAGCATTACCTTTTCTGCTTGCTGACCCACCTCTTGCTTCTGAGGAATGAGCACCGATGCCAGTGACCTCCGACTTTTCAAACTTTCGGTAAAAAGAAAAAAGAAAAAGGATTTCAGTCTCATGCACAAAGCAGAAAGGCAATGCATTCTCCTTCCCTCTCTCTCTGCCCTCACACTATTGTGGGATATTAAACTATTTTACAGTGTCTGTGGAGGTGGCCTTCTAGCTTTTCCTTCAACTCCTCCATTTTTTTCCTCCCTTGGAAGAAAAAAAGCAGTGGCAGTGTCACGGAGGGAACTGCAGCCTAAGTTACTAAAAAACAGGCACTGAATTATATATATCAGTTTGGGGTTTTGTTCTGGTTTGCTTTTCCAGCCAGACTGTACATTCTTCATCTGTATGTCCATCTTCAGAAATTCTATGTCTCTTTTCTTATCAGCACAGATTTTAACAGGACAAATTCAAATTACTGGAGGGACGTAACACCTTTCATAGAGAGAAAATTTTATCTGCTGTAGAAAGCCATTTATCATTACAAACAATATACTCTAAAGAGTTACTCAAGTGCAGCCGTCTTTCCTGTAACGTACAGCATCTTTCAAGCAGTTGATAAAGTTCATCCAGCTGACACTACACGGAACAGCCTAATCCTTGCTAGTGGTGATGTAAATATCTCCAGAAATGCTACTTTTCAAGTAAGATATACACTGATCTTCTAGCAGAAAGTGCTGCAAATCTGTTGAAATTCATAAACTCAGGATTTTATCTGAAAGAACACAACACAGGTGCACAATCGAGACGTTGAGAAAATAACGACCCAGACCACCTGCACCAGCTTTCCTTAGATGCTTCCCAGTGAAGTCTTGCTCTGCCAAGTCCAGGGAAAGACAAAAGAAATCACTACTCGCAGCAGAGCAAGCTTCTACCTATGGAGTGTCTTCCTTTAGCTGCAGCACTTGAACAAAGCAAAGGCTCCTGAAGTGTTTATTTTATTCAGACTGACTTGGAAGGCAGGCATTATAATCACTGCCATTAATTTGTATAAAAAAAAATTCCTATTAAAGCATGATCGTCTTCATCAATTTGAATGACCGCACCCCCTGGGTGTTCTACATGCTTAAACTACAAAAAAATTATCACATTTCTGCCTGCTTTAGAAACAGGATACAAGAGGAGGAGAATGAATTAAGGTATTATACCACTTTTAAAGCCAAAGCAAAAGTTTGGCTTTCACTAACAAGCATTTATGTAAAATAAGTCAGAATGCATCTGACAGTAAAAATTTAAGAGAACTTTCACACTGCAAAGCAGTCAACAGACAAAAGGTAATATACCCAGGAGCAGAAACATAAAATGTTTAGAGAAGGAAGAAATCTATACATGTCCTACCACAGGCTCGTCGGTTCTGCGCTCTGCTTTGGTGCTGTCCCCAGCAGCTGGATTTGGGGGTATAAAGGGCAGAGCCATTGCTGGACTAACCGGGACTGGGTAGGGCGAGGTCTCGGATGGTACGAGTGGCACCGACTGGGCCTCGGCAGCAGCTTTCACCTCCTGGCCGGTACCGGCAAAGTTATGGCCTGGTTCTCTCAAATCCAATGCCAACGTGGGAACTTGATCTTCGGGAAAAGGTGGCAAGTTAAATTCACTGTCGCCCTGTTCTAACGGGACAGAGGTGTCTGGAAAAAAAAAAGAAGTAGGATTCCTGGTAAAGTAAATTGCGCAATTTCTCATCGAGGCTTTTTATTGTGTTGTCAACGAAGTCCACCCTGGGTGGCCCCTCTCCGTCGGACTCGGCGGTGCTGGGCTGCTGCTGTTGCAGCAGGCTGATCCCCACGCCGGCGCAGGCTAGGGGCTGCGCCTGGGACAGCATCGCGTGCTGCTGGGATGCGGCCACGGGCACCTGGGTAGGGCTCTGGAGCTGAGACCCTGCCAGGGCGAGGGGATCGGAGGCAGCGGCAGGGAACGCTTGGTTCATGAAGGAGTGCTGCACCACACCGGGCTGGCTGGCCTCTGGCAGGTGAGGGACCTGCGCCGCAGGCTGCCGTTCCAAAACGACGGCGTCCGGGAGCACGGGG